AGCTGTGAGGACACCCTCCTTCGGAGTTCCCGATGTCCCTTTCCGCCGAGGTCCTTCGTGGGCCTGGATTCCCTGCCACCTGGGCTTGGCCAGGCCGGAGAAGAAATGGGAACGAGGCTCTGAGAGGGCCTCTGACAGCCAACGCCAATTGACGGCAAACGCTCAGGCTGGGATCGGTGATGTCTTTGAAGATGCCTGAGCCCAAGACGCGGCCTTTGTTCATTAAGCTGGGTTCTTCTCCCACAAATGGCTTTGGCTGGAAGCTTTCCGTTTCTTCGGAGCCACGGCTGGCTGGACTAGCAGTGCTCTGCTCTCCCCGGTCCTGCGAATGCCGCAGCTCTCCCTCCTGACACTTTGCGACGACGACCAGTACCAGTGTCTTGTACGGTCGCATACTGCTTTCAAAGGTCCTTGCGCAAATGAGGCAAGTAGTCTTGAGTCATGACCCTTCTGCATCGTGTTAAAAGCTCGAAGAAGTAGCTTTGCAACGGCTGCGGCCAGCTTCTATCCATGACATGACCAAGATGCTGATTATCCAGCATCTTGTTGATCGGTACTCGAAGCATCAGCCCGACATCATGACGGCCGGTTTACGAGATCAGACATGAGCATTCTGCTCTGGAAGGCCACTTCTGAGGACACCGTCGACACGACATGTCATGACAGGCTAATGCAGACTGTGGCTGAGCCGTTTTGGGGATGCGTTTTAACATGTTCCGGCCTTGTTTTTCTGTACGGCATCGGAATTCAATGCTGGAGAGCCGTCTTGCCTCTGCCTCAGTCCTCCTTCAGCCTCGTGGATGCTAGAAGTGACTCCTCCACCTCCTCCTCCTCCTCCTCCTCCTGCTCCTGCTCCTCCTGCTCCTCCTGCTCCTCTGCTCCTGCTCCTGTGTACCGTCCTCTTACGCCACCGCTGTTATTCTGCTCATGTTCCTTGGGAAATCTGCAATTTTTTCTCACACTCAGGCATTCGACCCTGCATGAGGCGACACCGCATGTGCTTGCATAAAGTCATGCTAGCAAAGGTCGGCATCGTATTGACATGGCCTTACCGGCTTGGGCCTCGGTGCGTTGGTTGTTCAGTCCGCGCCTAAGTTCCTGGCATGGCTTTTGCGCAATCGTTCAATGACATCGCTGGAGGTCTGTCAATGCTAACCGCTACATTCCGTCGCTAAGCCTGTGCCTCAAAAATGACGTGGAATGGTAGAGTCAGCTGCTCCCTTCCTTTCATATCCGGCCTCTGCCGATTGGGTCCTGAAGTCCGGGTCAGGGGCTCGGACGCAGCACATTTCTGCAGTCAGTTTACACATGGTGGGGCACATAGGTATCTGGGTGCTGTTGCTATTCTTTGTTTCTCAGCTTCCCTCGTCAGCATGCTTAAACTCCGAGCTTGCAGTCCGCCAGGCGCAGTTGAAAGATGTTGAAAGAAGATTTGCATGTTTCGGGGAGGGGCTGGCCGGTTGTGACATGGGCTGAACTCGAGGAAGTCGCAGCCTTTTGCAGACTCAAGTCGAGATGCGAGTCAAAAAAAGCAGCATCTCACACCTCTACCAGAAGCCACGATTGTTGAACTGCTGGTTGAACGATGCCTGACTTGCACGCATGCACAGTCCTTTTTCAGACTTCAGACAGACCACCATGCCGCCTATGCCAAAAGCACTGTACCCAGTCGGCTGTCCGCCCTCAGCAAGCGTCCGCAGCAGCTCGAGCAAGGCTAAAGCTGGTTGTATACCGAAGGACAAAGGCACTCCTCCGTCTTCGCGGTCACGACGACTGCGGAGCTCGACGCCTTCCAAGTCGCCGAGACGAAGCTCAACGCAGCCGCGTGCAGATCCAGACGGAGAGTTCTTCTTCGACCTCCAGCTGGAGAAGAAAGGCGAGCTAGAGGCCGTCCATGCTTTTGCAAGGTGCCTTGCTGAATTCGCAGTTGGCTTTGCATTTGGTTGTCGTTCAGTGTCTCGCGTAAGTAGCAAACGGAACACCTTCATTTGCTGGCCGTCTCCCGTGATTCAGGTGCTTGACTGGCGTGGATGATATGTCCAAGGAAGTTTTCTATGACATTACGCGGACCAGTGGAGGCTTCCAGGCTTCTCTGCGTATTCCCGCCTGGAGCAGCGAGTCCTACGAGGGAGAGGCCATGTCGATGGCCTTGTGTTGTGTGTCACAAAAGCAGGGAAACAGTTATCCCGGTTCTCCCTGTCCCCATGCGCAATGGTAGTTTTTGCCCGAGCCTCAGGTGATGCCGAATGAGAAGCGGGCAAAGAAGTCTGCAGCCTATAACTTCAAGACAGATCCAACAGTGCTGGAGCGGTCGCGCAGATTCCCCAAAGGGGTGAAGCGGTTGACAAATTTGGCAACTGTTGACGGATTTAGACAGAAGCGCCGTCTTGCCCAAGAAACGCGTAATCAACATGTGCAAACTTGACAGGATCTTGACAGGCGTGGCTTCGATTGTCCGTGTTGGCCACTTTGCAAATCTTGCAGAGACGAGTCGCTCCTTTGCCACTGGTTGAAGACCTAGTGATGACTCCTTTTGCCCAGCCGCTAGCTACCGGCAGGCAAACCTGGCTCAGTCGAGATTCAGCTATCCAGCTTGATTTGCACTCAGTCGTGCGGAGATGTTGGAGCATGGCAATGACAACGGCGGTCATGGGTGATGGACATCACGGCGATGCTGTTTCATCCCACGGTTATGATGGTAACAGTGTCTGGAGTCGTTAGAGAAGTGAAGCTTCTCGCCCATCCGATGTGGTGCGAAGACCTCGTACTGAAATAGCAATATTTCAATTTGACACGTCGACTGTGGAAAGCATGACCAGAAAGTTGCCAGAACGCCTGTCCCGTTTCCATCCAGATGTGAGGTTTATGCTCCCTTTGGTATGCAGTGCGGCGAGGAATAGGCGTTAAAGGTCCTAATCACCATAGAACCCAAAAAAACTGAACCCGAAAGCCTACAAGTTAGAAGCTCCAAAGCCCCATATCCAAAATCCTAAAGCAAAGGCACCGTTCCTGCATGCTCGACCTTACCTCGTTGTGGCGGGGCATGACGACGACTCACTCTGCTGCTGCTCTTCCAACAGTATTGCAAGTACTGTCCGAAATACGACTGCCAGCACCAACGACCTATTCTTGTCTGCTGATCAACGCGATATTGGTTGTGGTCATCGAGATTTCCAGTATTCAGATACTGTCGTCTTATGTTTCTGCTCCAGCCTGAATGAACAGATGCAGGGGGTGCAGGTTCGTGTGAATTTTGCGTTGCTTGGAGGGCGCACGCTTGAAAGTGCCATGTGCTTAGAGAAGACGGAAGCCTCTCTTGATGTACCCCTTCTTGAGCGTGTCGCTCTCGGCTCACTCGGGTCATCTGTGTGGTCGCTGAGCTTCTGCCCGGAAGCTCAGCGCACAGAGCCTTCTCCATGTCATTTTGGCATGGAGGATGCTTCTTGTGCTGTGTCTGCACAGCTGTCTGTGGGGCAACGTTCCTCAAGCACCATGAAGCTTGCCGAGGTGATTTTGACCCCCGCTTTCCGTGTGGGAGCCTCAGGGAATCCTATCCACGCTTGCGAACACTTGCATTCCACACATGATCCGTCAAGCCTCATCTCCCATGTCATGCATTCCACACATGATGGCACGCGAAGTGATGTAGCTCTTGATCGTTTCCAGCATGCAAAAGGGCCAAGATTGGCTTCGGACGCCTGGGTGGAACGGCAGCCTTCAGGGTCACAAAGAACGTAATTAAGACCAGGTGCTGATCCAGGGGAGGGCATGCAGACACAATTGCCCCAAAGGGTGGGGATCCCATCAACCGTCTGCCAAAGATCTGCTCGTGCACAGGTTCTATACATTGTTTCTAGATTCTGGCCGACAATACAAGTAAGCAAAAGTCAACAGACAACTGATCCAATATGTAAAGAACTATCAACTACATAAACAATAGTTGCATGTTTGAAGAAAATTCGCGAATTAAAGACACAAGCAGGCAAGTAATTTTACATGCACACACAAACGCACACACACACACACACACAAAAGCACACTCATACTCTTTGGCTTGGCAAGGATTGATGCAACGAACTCTGAGCTTACTGTGAAGGAGCACAGCGGGGCAGAGTTACCACCAGGCAATCGTGCGCCGCCCGTTTACGTGCTCTGCTGCAGAAGTCCCGCGACCGTGTCAGGTCGCACACATGAGCGTGCTGCGCACCGCCAATATATCGCAGGCTACACGGAGCAACCTACGATTTACTGCCGTGCTCGCTTGAGCCAAAAATTCACAGTACACATGCATAAAAGCACAAAGTCCCACAGCACAGCCCGTAGACTATGTACAGTCACATTCGCCCTCAGCCGAGAGCACGGGGTGTGTCGTTAGGGCAGCGGGCGGCCGGAGGCTTTGCCAAAAACCTACCCGACAACCCTTCCTGAACCGAACACACGCACAACCCCTTACTTTTCTCGGCACTCCTGGCACGAGGCTCTGAGCCTTCCGCAGTCCGCGCCGCACAGCGGCCACGGGCTGGTGAGACGAGCAGCCGAAGCAACGGCGCTACTCCTCGCGCTTCGGGAGCATAGCCGTGCCTCCCTAGCCACGAGCGTCCGGGATTTATAGAGCGGATACGCCACCCTGCCATCCTTTCGGCAAGCAGCTAGGTGCTGCGCACAAAACTGAAGAAATGCCGCAAGCGGCCAGAGGCGCCACACGGGCTGCGACCTCGGGTCCACAGTCGCGGCGGCGTCAACCGGTTCCAGAAACCGTCTCCGTGCCGGCGTCTTCGCCAACGGGAGGAGCACGGCGGCGAGAGCCGGGCGGCGGGGAACACGGTGGCGTCTTATGAGGCGGCCTGCCTCGGCTACTCCCAGGATCCTGTTCCGGAGCATCCCACAGGACCGCCGATTGAAAAAGTTCAATCGCGATTGAATTTTCTCAGCGTTTTAGTTTTTGTCGATCAAGCTTCCGCCTGTATCTCACAACCAAAGACAGCAGCCTGCTGCTGCAGATGTACCAGACGTCCCTGAAGTCAAAAGAGGACTACGAGAACGGCAGCTGCGAGGCACCACTCCGCACTGCTCTGATGGGCACGATGGCCATGGAGCTCAAGGCACGTGTAGCCAAAACCTCCGAAGAGCATCTTCACAAACTGTGCCTGGAAGCTGGCTGGTTGACCACGGACAACAAGTGGCAGTATCTCGCGTGGAGTCCGCAAGAAAAGAAATTGATGCCGACAACAAAGGAGCCGATGACACACACGGCCATTCTGGAGACTATGGAGCAAATCACAGAACTCACATCGCAGCCAGGCCTGGTTCATCGATTTCACTCCTTGCGGCCACTGAAAGAGACCTACCAGACGGACGCGGTCATCATGCTCCTCGCGCAGTCAATCCGCCCGGAAGCCAACAAGCTCTACAGCCTCTTCACTCGAATTCAGGATCTCGCGGCGACCCAGCTAATCGGCCTACGCCTAAGACAGGAGCGGGTCAAGCCAAGCCATCTGGCGGGAGCCGAGGGGATCATCAGCACTGGCTGATTCCAAACCGGATTCCTCCAATGCTGACATGAGGGGGACCAAGGGGACCAACATCGTTCAGCAGAGTGATAAAACTACGGCTCCAGCGCCTGCTGCTGGCTCATCTGTGAAGCGGGCCACCGCATGGCAGGCAACAGAGCTACCAAGCACTCTATGTAACCGACATAGCCAGTGCTACATCAACTCCATCGCTCTTCTTCTGTTTCAAGCAGTGAAGCATGCCAACGGCGCCATTGGAACCATACAAGCCGCCCTCAACGAATTGCTCAAGTCTGACAACAACGACATCCTGAAGTCACCGTCATGGACGCGACTCCTAAGAGGCTGGAGGCAACCCAGACAGCAGCATGATGTGTCAGAGCTCCTACACTTTCTGTCACCGCACCTTGGCTGGGAACCTCTGGCAGACGAATGGGCCATCCATCGGCCCACACCTGACGCACCCAGGCGTCTCATGGACGACTCGACCACCAGCCCCTACATTACCATGAACCTTGAAAGTGCCACCAACATTCAGGACATGGTGAACCATTGGCGAGGAACCAGGCCGCTGACTGCTCTCGTCACTGCACCTGAGATAGTGCTCATCAGTCTTGCCCGCTTCCAATACCGACGAGGCCAACCCCGCAAGCTCCGGCAGAAGATCGATGTACATAGAAACATTTTCCTACCGATCTTCAGGTCTCACCGTGGTCACCCGGCCCCAAGTAGGGAGCCGGACCATGATGCCGATTCGGCCCCTTTAAAGGAGCCGGCACTCATCCCACAACAGCATTTGACTACCGATGAAGTTGCGTACAAGCTGTTGGGAGGCATCATACATATCGGTGATCGGGCACACACAGGTCACTATCGCATGTTTGAGGTTCGCTCCAACAGATCCGAGAGTGATCAACTACAAGCAAGTGATGTCATCATGCATGATGACAACATCAGACCCGCTGCTGCGACAAAAGCGAATCTCACACAGATTCATCACAACGCGTACATGCTTTTTCTTCTGCGAGCTTAGTGAAGTGTAGATTGTTTAGTTGAGTAGACGGCGCTTATAGGCGCTCTGCTCTTTACTCGTTGCACGCAGTGCTACGGCACCGTGCAGCTCCGGCGATTCCTAAGTGGACCGCCCGCTTGACGCGAGACCCTCGCGCTGCGTTGGAATGGAAAAAACACGCCCGTCGAGAGGCCACGGCGAAGAAGTCGTGGCGACGGTCGGCCCGTCGCAAGTTCAGCCTTTCTCGAAGCTTGAAGAACTGTCCGAACGAGTGCTATCCTTCAAGTGAGCTCAGTGTGATCAGGGGCGTTGGGGCTCACTTGAAGGTCGCAGCGGCGACGGGGAGACTTCTTGAAGAGTGTTGCAGTGGTCCTCGCAGACCCCCGATCGCGGTGAACGCAAAACGAAGGAGAGAGAGTTTCTGGAACCTTAGTTATTTGATTGGATGAAAAATTTGCCATAAAGTATATGATCTCTAAGAGACCTTTTCTCTATACATTTGATTCTGAATATATCATTTATAGTTAATATTCCAGAAAGGGGATATAACATTTTCCCTTATATTGAAGAAACGTCATTTGTGGTCGAAAACCACCGGTCCCAGAAAGAAGTTGATGAGACTGGAAGTGCAACATCATCAGGCCGACGTCCCAAGGCAACAGCAAGACCTCGCCAAGGTGGAGATACGATATATCTGGCGAATGGACGCTTATGCGATATGATGGATTCGAAATCTCTGAGATGTGCCCTGGGTGAAGCGCTGGTGTCCGAACTCATTGAGGAAATCTCCGATGACCGAGATCGTGAACTTCCTCAGAGAGGCGATCAACCGTTGTTTCCCATAGGCGTGACGGAACCGCCGGCCGGGCCACACGAACTTGGACATGCCAACTCTGATGGATCGTCTCCATTCAGAACCAGATCGTCGAGTTGCAGCAGAACAGAAGTACCCTGAGAAATCAACGCTTGGACCGTGCAATGGATGGGTGAGACCATGGGCTGTCAGGGCAGCAAGCGGGCAATGCGTTCATCCAAACGAAGATCGGAATCTTTTCCGGGTGAACCCGGACAAGTTCGCGATTTCCCCTTCGACTGAGGTTTGCAACCGCTTGGGAGGCGCTTTTCATGCGACTGACTGTCGGAATCTTCTTTCGATCATGGAACGCGGCGACCACCCGGGCAACCTGATCAACAAGGACTACGTGACTACAACAGGCAACACGAGGCAGGAAGGGTTCACAGCTACTACGGTATCTTTGCACCTTGGGACGAGCGGAACGCATAAACGAAGACAGGGGTATGTGGACAACGTGATCGTCACATGCCGCTTGCGGTTCTCTACGTTCCCATCGGCGACCTCATAAGGTTGGGGGAAGAGTTACGACAATGGAACCATCATGGCCAGCAGGGTGGTGCCCTTTCCAATGGTCAAGGAGATATGGTTCTGCATTCCGAAAGCTTCCGACAACTATTCCTTTGAGTTCATTGAGAAGATCTACGATCCAGAACTCGTGAATGAACTGGTGCTTGATTACAGGCATTCTCCGATTTTTCACAACTTCCGATGGAAGCGCACGCCTGCGCGAGTCTTGGAACTCCTGATTGGATGTGAGGCCGGGCCTCATCAACGAGACAAAGAAGTGCTCATGCGAGAACTTGTGGCAGCGTCCGAGTATCATCACGAAGATGCTCGACGCCAACACTACCTCAAGGAGGGCCTAAGGAGGGCGTCAATGCGGCATCAATCTCGCCATCACGCATTCACGCCCTGGCTCTCGTCGTATGCTGGACATCGACGATGGCATGATCATGCGTATTTGCCCAGGATGCTACCGCATCACGCCTGCAACGCTCACAAAGTGCACTACATGCTGGTCAGCTTTGGTTAGTTCCAACAAGAGATGCCAAGGGAGGCTCCTGTGGAGGTCCCTGCGTCCGGAATTGAGCAGTCAGATGGAGGCTGCAGCCGCCGCGGTACCTATCGTCATTGAAGATGAGAACGAAGAGCCAGCAATGGACCAAAGCGATGTGAGGCCAGTTGCGGAGCCTGAGATGGAGGTTGATGGAGGACAAACGGAAGGAGAACCCGAGCCGGATGAGGAGATGATGCAGTCCGACGAAGATGAAGAGGCAGCGAATGAGCGACATCCCCGTCCTTTTGCCAGGTCGAACGCACGTCATCGACTCTGATCATCAGGCTGCGTTGGCTGCGATGACACCACCTCTGCATCCTTCTTCTTCAGACAGAGAGGTCGGCACTTGCGTTGACCGCGACCTCATCACTTTCTCTTACATGGCGTACTGCGTGTGCAGAACCATTCACAAGAACTGGCTGCTACTTCGTGGCTTACTGTGCCGTTCGAGAGCATGAAAGACAAGTTCCGATTGGGACAGCGTTATATGATGTTCATGGGAAGTGGGGTCCGATCTTGAGCGAAGTCGATCCTGAAACCCACATCAGTCGCGACGTCACCGATGAGGAGCTCCTAACCTATTGCAGAAGTCAGGAAGACAGAAGACGCCTATGATCCGGACGGAACGACTTTGTTTCGCAGGTTAGCGCATTTGCTGAACTATAGTCGCAAGGGTTTCGATCCCAGCACTTACCTCAACACGAACAGCAATCAGCGGGTGGAGCTCAAGCAGATGCATTACGTGTGTGTGTGTGTGGGCGTTCTCAGCGACATCATTCCCAAGCTCACGGGGTACCAGCTCTTTTCGCTCATTCGTCCCGCTCCTTCTGGTCCGGTCGGATTCCTGTTCATTGACCCTGTTGGGGTGATGGCCAATGTGAGTCTTGGAGACGTCAGCGTCACAACCATCGGCATGCTCATCGACAGTGACACCCCTGTGCCAAGGAAATACCTGGACAAGTTCATCAAGAACCGTGCGGAAGCCGAAAACAAACCTCGTGCCTTATTCGAAGACGAAGAGCTTTGGAGCACATTGCACCGCATGAGTATCTGGACGAGAATCTGGGGCACAGGCATTTTCTGCGAACCGTCAACGGTACATCGCCAACACTGCTGCTGACAAGGGCACGGGCAAGAACCGACGTCCCGCTGAAAGGGAGCAGGCCCGTCGGCAAGTACATCGTCATCTGTGTGACGCTCGTTCATGTGCCGCAGCATCCGTACTGATACTCTGCGGTGACTCTCTGATTCTGCGAGTGATGTTTCCCGGGATCGTTACCGACGTAGTGATATGTCACAACCTTATTAATTGGGAGTCAAAGCTCTTATCCTCAGCAATGTCCAAAGTTGCTGCGGAGCCTTTTCTGTTTCCATCGCGACTCTCTTCGTGTGAGCAGTGCCGGAGGCACAACTCATGGGGGGTGCGAACGGACCTCGATGCCTAGTCCAATTCGTAGGTGTCGCTTCTTTAGCTATGACAGCTATGAACCACATGTCATGGTACGCCATGTCCATGGGTCGGGGAGCCACTGTGTGGGCCCCGTACCATGTAGCCCGGTACCACTGTGTGGACCCGGCGACAAGTCACTTTACCATACGCTCCGCGTGCAACGCAACTTAGGCTCAAGAATATGAGTGAATCTACTCATCTACTGTCGAGTCTAACGAGCCTTGAGGATTGAACAATTCCTGTCTGCACAGACAACTCGCTGCGAGTAATTATCTTTCCCGAGAAAAAGGGTGAGCCGAGTTTGCCAGCGATTGCGTTGGTATCAGTACGACTGGCTACTGCATCGTAGAAAGCCACCACTGTAAACTATGTGAACAAGCTCGGTGAGGTGAGCATCTATACCGTGTTATCGGCATCTCACGCAGATAACAACATTCAAGTTAGGTTCGTGGACAAAGTGACCGAGAGCAGGATCGACAGGGAGGTTAATCCACAGGCTCACAGAGGAGGACGTCAAGCACTTCAAAATTTGCGCCCCTCCGACTATTTGCAAGCAGGACGATCATCGATCATGGATGCCCCCGTCACAGATGAACAACGTGAACGTGTCAATCGTCCAAATCACAATCGAGCTTCATCACCCGGACGAGGAGACAGCCGTCGTCCTTGGAATGCCAACACCCATGTCGACAAGGGCAGAGGCACAGGCAAGTCCAAGACTCCTAAGGAACGTGAGCGTGAACGTCAACGTCTCCGGCGCTGGGAGGAAGACAATCGGTCATATCGTCTCTTTCACTGCTGGCAAGTTCGTGGCACTGGCTACTACGTGCAGGTGGAATCCGATCGTGGCCTATTTCTTCGGTGTTTTTCTGATTCCGCGAAGTCATTTCAGGGGATCGTCATTGACGTAGAGAAGTGTCACAACCTTTAAATTGAGAACTCATGGCTCTTATCCTAAACAATCCTCAAAGTTGCGGCGGATATTTTCTTTTTGTCTAATCGCGACTCTCTTCCAAAGTGAGTGTAGTGCCAGAGACGCAACTCATGGGGGGTGCGAACGGACCTCGATGCTTAGTCCAATTCGCAGGTGTCGCAATCTGAGCTATGAATCTGATGTCATGTGCCACCGTGTACATAGAGCAAGGCACCGTCTTGCAGACCTTGTCTCACTGCTTTTATGTTGCCCGCGCTTGGGCCCGCTAGCCGGACCATGCGACAGTGCCTGCCATAATTTCTCTGCACACAACGCAACTTTGGCTCAAGAATATGCTTCGGCATATCAACTATTGCCATACAAGCTAAAGTGCTTGTGGTCTACTGATCTTGAGGATTCGAGCCATCCCCTTGCACAGACAATTCGTCGCGTGTCTCTGGCGAGAGCACATTCGGACCGAGTTTGCCTGCAGGGACTGCTGTGGATACAGCTTGACAGCTGCAAGTTCGTAAAGGGCAGCAACAACTTATCAACACGTTCGGTGAGGTGAGCATCAACACAGTATCATCGACCCACACAAGGAGCGGGGTGCGGACACGCCATTTTACCTTAGCGCGGACAGTGCTTTGAAGAGAGAATCCCTACAGCGAAACTGTTTGGGGACTTTCCAGAGAAATTTTTGCTGTGTGCGAGACGCACAGCAGATCGTATGGACTGTTGGCAATGGAAATTTCGATCATCGTGAAGCCTTCGGAGTTGTGACCAAGGCAAGTAGAATGAGTCCACAATGATGAAAGCACAAGTTATGTCCCGTGGCTACAAACAATGTGGACCATGCAAACCGTGAGTGTTTCTACATGTTCGACTGCTGGTAAGCCGCTGCTGTGGTTGATCGGGCTGTGAGCCACGACATCTCATGAGCCCGGTTTAGCTTTTTTGTGAGACCGGATCTGCCGTAAGTTGCAAAAGTGTCGACGGTACCAAAAAGTAACAGTCTGTGACACAGTTTGACTTCGTGGAAATTCGTAAAGATAACCAGGAAAGACGGGTAACAACTTTGTACAGCAACCCCAAACCCCTATTTACTGCATATCATGGTTTAACTTCACCAACAATGTGATGAGCATGTACATGTCAAAACTGTCCGGAATATGCTATATGAGGCTCAGGGTGTGAGTGCGAAGAAAAGCCCGTTGGCTTGTTTTTGTGTTGATATCAACGTCGGCTGTGCAGTACATTCTTCCTGTGCGTCTTGAGGTCAAGGATCTCTTCGATGCAGAAGCAACTGATGTTCAAGCTGTTGAAGGACTTTTGTCGGAATTTGTTTAGGATTGTACCGAAGTTGTGTGTTGGGGTGAGTCATAGCTGTGGTGTTGGCCCCGCAGGAGGTGAAAGCGTTGCGGAAGGCGGCGAACATGAGCTTGGTCTGGTTTTTTTCGAAAAGACACGAGATTGCTCAATACATGTTGTTGCTTTTGTGAAACATATTGAGACCCAAGAAGACATGTGTAGAACTATAGTTTATAGAGTCAATCGTGCTGAGTCTAACAAGAGCCGAAACGCGCAATCGAGCTTGTGCGCAGGAGTTGAAGGACGTGTCAGGCTTAACAGCATTCAATGTGAATTGTATGGTGGTGCCTTCCGTGAAGCCGCATCGGCAGAATTAAGCAAGGTCAAGCAAACGCTTGCTGCGGCTTTCGAGGCCAGGTTGTGGTTCTCACCCTGTTGCCCGCGCTTCGGATGCCCGACGAGCCTTCTCAAGGCCATCGACGTCAACAAAGACGACATGGTGTCAAGAGAGGCCTGCTGCAAAGTGCTCCGCTGGTGTGTCCATGCCGCTTGTGCTTCCGGTGATCGTCCCAGAGCATATGGCTTTTCAAAGTCCTGTGCTTGCCTTCGAATCTGTGCTGCATGCCTGAAGTAGAGTCTCAGGAAAGGTTTCCGCGTTCCCTGCAGGGTGCCACTGAGAGCAAAAGCTTTGCCCTCACGAATCGTCAGGAAGAGCCACTGCTCTCCACTCGAGGGGACGAGGTGTTTGCCGCCGAAGCTCAATTTGCTTTCGACGTCCTGCTCTGCTCCACGGGCGGCACCTGGAAGGTGGAACACGATGTCGCGGGGCAGTCTGTGGAAGACCTTGTTGCTGCCGCTGGGCGCCCAGATCGGCATGTTGATTGCAAAGGCCCAAGCGTCTTGGGCTTTGTCAAGAGCAGGCAAGCACGTCCCCGGCCAAAGCGATGTCACAAGGTGCGCCGCCTTTGCTAGAGCCCTACAGCCCCACTGTATACAAGTCAAAGTACCCTACACGAATACCCTCCCCATACAGGTCAGGCCAGTTTCGTGAGTTTAAGATCAGTGGTCGTCACTGCACTTCAGAGAGATGCTCCGTCCAGATGGGGTTGATGTGAATGTGGCGAAGAGGCTGCCCCAAAAGCTTCCTTTGGATTATTGTCAATATGGCAGTTGTAATTCGGCTAGGTCTCGTACGTGCCAGCCCGCCCTTCCTTGACGTGTTTGGCTTTCCACTGTTCTTTCTGGTATCCTGTCACGCAGTGCTAGCTGCTAGCTATTCTTTGTTGTGCCTCGGCTGTGTGTCTTGTGCCATGCTTTGCGTTAGGTAGTCGGGCACTGCATTGTCGGCTTTGGGGTTTCTTGAGCTGACCTGGGTTCCTGGAACACGAGACCTGGACTGAAGCGCGTGAGCCAACAAGCTGATGTGCAAGACTCCGTCGAGAGATGGGCTCTGGAGAAGCTGAGGAGCTCTTAGGGTACTGCAGTTTATGGGAGTTTCGTGCTTTCTTTGTGTGCCATGTCACATGAGACTCCAAAGCCAATCGCAGCGGCTGGCTTTGACAGGCAGCTCGCCGATGGTCAGTGCTGCTGGCACAGAGGCCCCTGACTTGAAAGAGATTCTCTTTGGGCTAAGGATGCTCAGGCTTCTGTGGTTGGAGAAGCATTGATTCGTGCGAATTCTCGCTCGCCACATCTTCGCGGGTAGACACCGGGCATCCTGCACTGGAGCTGGCAAAGACAGCAGCCGAACCTCAGGAAGGGAAGCAGTGATAGAAGTATGGCTTGAATTCTTGACTTCTCGCTGCGTGGTGGGGGAGCTTTAGCCATCGGGGGGCGAGGCTTGTCAGCCTGCGGCGGCATTTTCCACCCAGCCGTGGGAATTTCTGGCGTCGGTCGGAACCTGGCACCTTGGCCCTAACAAGAGCTTTCCAACTTGAAGCTCAGGCTTGTTGTGGCAAGAACGGCATGTAGGGCACCCACCTTGGACCCACATGCGATTTCCTCTGAAAGGTATACGCCACTGCGACAGACTCCCACTCCCACCGCAGAGGCAGATAGACTGATGATGGTTCCCAGATTACCGTCGTGTAGTAGCTCCGGTGATGCTTGAAGTGATGTGCTGCTTCTTCACGAATGCCATTAGCATGAGGTGGACGTTCGGTTTTGCACAACACAAGCGAGTCATCCTCCTCAACATCTTTAAATGAACGCCGGACCAGCTTGCTCCCTACGCTTTTGAGCAAGACAGAGTCAGAGCTTACTGATGTGTGTCATTCTGAAACTTCGCAATCTCCGAAGAAGGTTCCTGAAGCTGTAATGCTTGTGACTCTGGAGGTTGTGGCTACAGCGCTGGGCTGCGATTGGTGGAAGCGGCCCTCTGCGGTCACGTGGTTCACGCCGCTTGTGCTTCCGGTGATCGTCCCAGAGCATATGGCTTTTCAAAGTCCTTTGCTTGCCTTCGAATCTGTGCTGCATGCCTGAAGTAGAGTCTCAGGAAAGGTTTCCGCGTTCCCTGTAGGGCCTACTGTAGGGTGCCAC